GATAAAAAATACATCTTCCTCCTCCTAATGCAGCACATTCAGTAGAAAAGGCTCCAGGATTACACAGGAAAGCCCAAATCTTGTTTATAAGAACTGTCACTTCTTTACAGAACAAGTTAAAGTTTTTGAAACTCCCCCTTCTCTTCAAAATCTTAAACTCTTACAGAATCTTGGAGGAAATGCAGACATGTAACTCGATGCTGTATGGGCCAAGGACAAATCTGGATAGAAATTATCTCTCCTATTACACGTTGCTGGAGAAGATGCACTTAGAGAAATTTTCAATATACAAATCGTGAAACGTTTTATATGATTCATGTTGATTTTTTTAAAAAAGAAAATAAAAACGAATACAATTTACCATAAAGTAAGAAAAAAAGAAAAAATCAGAGACAAAGCTAAAAGTTCAAGAAAGGGGGGGAAAGGGGAGAAAAATAGAAAAAAGATCCAAAAAAGTGGTTTCCGATATACTTCACAGCATTTCTAAGTTATATTACTAAATTATAATTGTATATTACAATTATATTTTAATCTCTCTCTGTAAAGTTACATAATAGTGATCTTCTTTCTATTGTCTATCCTGTCTAATCATCAAGGCCATAACTGACAAGTTCAAAGAAATATTAATATTTCATGAATGCTGTAATAACAAAATTTGAAAAGTACTTCTTACCAGAAAACAATGAGACATTTGAAAATCCAAGCATAGTAAAAGCGAGTGAAATTGTTGGGAACTATGGGATTCTTACATCAAAGAATCACATACTATAGTGCCTAACAGTTTTTCCTACAAGATAATCTGAGACTCAGACTTCCATATCCTTGGAAGGAAGAATTTTACATAATTCAGGATTGATCAATTTTCATCTTGAGTAGTGTGTCCTAGTTCTGCACCACAAGGTGGTCTCAGATATGCACAGGGAGCAGAGATGGGTTCCTACCGGTTTGGCCCGGTTTTGGCCGAGTAAGTACTAACTTGGCCGCCCACGCGCTCGAACTGGTTCTATCAGCGCTGCCATCTTGTTTTTTTACTGCTGCGCACACGCACATCAAGCTCATCAAATGACCGCTCACCCGAAGCGCATCCCTGAGCGAACCAGCAGTAAAAGAAGCCTGACAGGGTGGGATGACAAGCATGAACTCTCACAAAACAGATTGAAGGAATTGAGAATACTTTGCATAACACACACTACATGGGCTGCCTTTGAAGAACATTTGGAAGATGTGGCTTGTCCAGAATATGGTTATCAAGGCCAGTTTGGGACAATCCACAACATGACTGTGTAACCTCTGGTCTCCAAGCTGTACTAGTTTCTACTAGGTTTCTAGATGCAATTCAAGGGCCATCACCTATATAATTCTACATGGTACAGGGCCAGGTATTTTTTTGCTCACCCTACCAGAAAAAGTAAAGGATCTGCATGCTTCAGATCCATCTTTTAAGACAATGCCATCTTGTGAGATCTATGAATTGTGGCTTTTCTGTCACTGTGCTTGCTCTGTGAGACAGCATTCCCTCTCAGATTGGGTTGGCATCAAACCTGTTGGTCTTTCATAAGCCATTAAAGACCTGGATGTTCCCACAAGCATTTTGGCTGGGTCAGTTGTTGTCTTAGTGACTGAAATGAAACACTTTTTCTTTTGGCTTCAGGCATGTTGGACATTAGGGTTTCTCTATATACAGTATATACTCTCTTCTTTTGGTTTTAATTTTTTTGTATGCCAACTAGAGTCACTGTGGTGAGAGATGGACAGCTATATAAATGGTTGAATACATGAATGAATGAACATCATGGATACCAGCTAATCAGATCAGAAGCTTATTACCACTGCATCCTCAGAAATAATGAAAAGAAATAACAAATATGGCTATGAAAAAAAAAAACCATTGGCCCAAATGCACACAATTGTGACAAAATTAACTACAAGCATCTGGAAGAATCTGGCTGTTTTTCTAGCTTTAAATCAACTTTCTAGCACTCTATGAAATGAATGGTAAACTTGTGCAAAAAAGCTAGCATGCAAATCTAACAAGGGCTTTGGAAAGTGCTGATGATGCAGGCAGATGATTTGTAAAGGCCAGTTCTTCAGCCCTTCCTATAGTCCAACTCCAAATGGCCACAGGGGGATGTTTGCATTGAGTGGAGGGAATGGGGCAAGCCCCAAGTGGTCTAAGATGGCTAATAGGAATTGGTCAGGGGCAATCTCTGCCATGTCAGTCACTGAATGAAAACTCAAAGTGTGGCAGCTGTGGAAAAAAAAGAAATTCTTTGTTGGGGTCATTGGAAAGGGGATTGACAATGGTCAACACTGTCATGCCTGCATAAAAAAATATATGGTATGTCCACACCTGGATTACTGCATTTAGTTCTTATAACATTGGGAGAAAAGATGCAAGGCAAGGGCAACCAAGGAGATGGGGAAAAGGTAAAGTGCTAGAACAGAGAAAAAGGAAACACACAGAGAGATATATAACTGAGGTATAGAAAATAAGGCATTATATGGAGAAAATAGACATGGAAACGTTATTCTCCCACTCTCAAAACTTTGGGAACGTGGATAATTTAATAAAGCTGAATGAAAAGGCGTTATAGACCAGTGATGGCAAACCCTTTCGGCACCGAATGCCCAAGCCTGAATGCACATGCAGTAAAAACCCAAAGACCAACTAGCCGGCATGCGCATGCCTGTTTTTTTGCTGTTTTTTGGGGCCATTTCAGGCTTTTTTTTGGGCCATATTCTGGCACTCTGATGCCCATAAAGGCCAGCTGGCTGGCTTGCATGTGCGCACCAGAAACCAGAAGAGCAGTTGGCGACAACGCATATGTCCACAGAGAGGGCTTTGTGTGCCATCTGTGGCACCTGTGCAATAGGTTCGCCATCACGGTTATAGACAAAACCAAGCACTTCTTCACACTGTTCACGAACTCTGAAATTCATTACTACATTGAGTAATGTAGTAACGAGGGCTCCCAGCTTGGAGAGCTTTAAAAAAAGAGTTGGAAAAAATCATGGCAGCCAGGTCTATTGACAATTATTAGTCTTGAGATTCTTGGCTGGCTTCAGATTGGAGGCAGATTGCTTCAAGTACCAGTTACAGAAATGATGGCAAGAGAGGGATGTAATAGAATAAGAGAGTTGGAAGGGACCTTAGGGGTATTCTAGTGCAAACCCCTGTTCAAACACTTGTGCAAGAAACAAAATGCTAGATTAAGGTGGAGCTTGGTCTGATTTATGCTGTTATGGGTTTACATTTTTAATTCCAGAGTTACAACTCCAAAATATTTTTGAAAATATCAGGATGGATAAGGCTGGTTTAAGTTCTATTTGATAAAACCTTAAATCATTATAAAAATTTTGTAAACATCTAGCAACAGAAAACAACATAATTACCTCATTTTCATACAGCCCCCACATAGACACAAATTATAGGTTTGGGACTAAATATGATAGCAACTAGTCCAGAGCATGGTGGGTTGAAAGAAAATAAAACCAATGCCACTCCTGAAGAAAGCATTTTATTTATTAATACAAGAATAGAAATTCTGCAATAAATACAATCTAATAAATAACATCTGAAAATAAATAAATATTAATATAAACAAACTTAGAATAACAACCTGGCAGGAGGAAGGAGGGGTGGGCAAAGATGGAGAGAAAGAATGGGAGATGGGGCCACATATGGGAAATTTTTCCTTTGCTGGTGACAGTGTAAACCACAGAACTTCACCCATCCTGTTTTATGGAGCGAATGGTGTAGACAAGCAGTGGCCACCACAGCTGGCTTAGACAATTATCCTACTAAGGGTAGATCTGCACATGTGATGAATGAATGAATGATTGAATTAATGAATGATCATTTATTCATTCACTGCAATAGTAAATGAATGAATAATCTTACCTAACCAGGGAGGGGAAAGAAAGCTGGAAACCTAAGCGTTTGAGCTAAACTGAGTCTCTCATCTCTGGTTCAGTTTGGGCATATTTTACAACCTGACTGGAGAGATGCTCCCAATGTAAGTGCCACTGAATGTCCTTTGTAAGCTTCGAATTGGCACAGCCCCTTAAACAGAAGAGGCAGAGAAATCCAGCTACAGAGGGTGTGAAGTTTAAGGCAACTGGCGTATCAGCGGTGGAGGCTGCAGCTGTTGGCTGCCCTTGTTCATCCTGGAGGTGCGAAGGGAAACACTCTTCCTCTTCTTCTGGAAAATGAATGGCCTCTCTAGAAGAGGAAGAGAGAAAGAGAGAAAGAGAGAGAGAGAGAGAGA